ACGTGGTCGAGCAGGTGACCCCATACATTTTCACGTCCGATCGGAGAACCGAACCCCGGCCGGCTTGGTGAAAGGCAAGTGCGCTATCCACTGCACCACCCGAATTCAATCTTTGAATCGAGTTTAATATAAGTAAGTACTAGTCGATATGAAGGCTTCATCATTATAGTACAATATATATATTCTATGTGTTGTAATAGTAATAATAATATAGTTACTTAATGTTAGGTCCAAGTGAGTGTGGTTCTAACGCGACCAAGCATGAACAGAACACACTTCACTAAATATTGTAATACAATATTTAAAAAGAAAAGAAAACAAGAAGGAACAAAAGATCCCCACTAAGCTCGATATTTGCTAGAAGTTTCCCTGGTCTTAGTACAAAATCAAATTGGGATGAAACAATTGTAAATTGTGTAACAAACCGATTGTATAAACGAAGGTTGAACATTCTATTTTGAAAATGTGACCCATCACAAATATGATAATAAAAAGTCAAGCAATCACCCGTAGAAAAAATATTTGACACGTTGTTTTCTTTTTTAATGAACATCTTGACATCTTAACTTCATAAATGAAAATAGACAGTCTCGGGTAACGAAGATTCTTTGAGAAATGTCAGTTATAGTGATATTTGCATTTGTAATGGATTTCTTCATTGATTTGACATATAATTGGTCTTATTAATATCATAAGTAGTTCGCCGTCATTATGTGACCAGTTACCACAAAATATAATAGTTATTGGCATAATAGAGGTACAAATGTAAGGTGTTAGCATGCTCTGATGTCCTATTGATCGCAATTTGTTGGACCTCAACAGAGAGCGGCTTAGGGGCATGTACACTGTATATCAAGAAAACCACTTTAATTACCAGAGTCTTCAAAGGCGGAGGATGTTTTAAGTGACAAGATATTAAACTTATCAATGGCTTTAAACCTAAAATGCTAATTGCAATCCATAGTTTGAAAATGACATCCATTCTAGGAGTAATAAGGATTTAGCTAATCTTTATTCAATATTTTACTTATCTGCAATATAATCATTCATTAAAATCTAAGTTTATATTCAAACCATACCTGTAATAATCAACATAATTTGGCAAGTGATTATACAAACGTTTTAACATATATAACATTTCCAAGGTCAAATGTTAAACATGCGGTTTGATATTCTCGCAGCCAAATTCTCTATGTTAACAAAATTCAAAGATTTATACAGCTATAATATGCAAATGACAAAATTTCAAATTTCCATACAATCTTTACGACTTTCAACATATTACAATGCTTCATTACAAAATTAGACAGTTAAAAACTGTGAATTAAAGCAAATCAATATGCAGTTACGCAATGTATATATATATTTATATATATCTGAAATTAAACCAAAGTCTCCAAAAAAAGGACAAAATATACCAAAAAGTTAACAGAATTTACCGCAACGTCAACGCCCAAAGACAAAACATATACCAATACCTCCATCCACTAGAGCAATATTTACCAAACTGTCTACAAACAAGGACAACATATCTCGAACCGTCAATACACAAAGGCAAAATATACCACATCGTGCTTACACAAGCACAAAAAAAACCACGGCTTCAACACGTTAGGACAGATTACACTAAAGCATCAGCACCCAATGACAAAATATACCAAGACATTAACACAAAAGGACAAAAAATATACCAACGCCCAACGTACTAGTACAAAAAATATCATAGCGTCAACAAACGAATTCAACAATCTCTCAGCGTCATAAACAAGCACAATTTATTCCAAAGCGTCCACACTAGGGCAAAATATAGCACATGTTCAACACACATAGACACATGAAATGTGTGTCCACGTTGTAGTACAGGGTTGCTGCGTTGTGTGTTAACACTGTGATGCATCTTTTGCTGCTGTATTGACGTACTTAATTTGTTGCACTTTTAGCATTGCATTTTGTCTCTTTGGCATATTGTTTCGTGTTGACACTGATATATTTTGCCATTTTCTTTTGCATTGACGCTATAGTATCTTTCGTCCATATGTGTTGACGCTTTGCTTGATTTTATTATGACTCTCCAGTAGATCCTTTTAATTGTTGATTCCGAAAAACAGATAGATAACGCATTAAAAAAATATTCTTCACTTGTTCTTGAGATTATGACGTTATCTAAATTAACAATCATACCGTTTTGTATTGACAACAATAGCATAATTAGCATTTGCTACTTAAACAAACAATGACTACACCTTCAAGATATTCTATCGTGGACAACTCCTAATATAAGTTTATTATTCTACACCAATTGTTTTTCAATCGACTGCTCCGGGGATAGGTTATCAATGCCTTTAGGGTGTTATTTACCATGTTTCTCGTGTTAAAGTGACCAGGTTCATCCGTAAAACATTAGTATCCATGATTGGACATTCATTCTGAACATTATTCTAAATGTGTTAGGATTATCATAATTAAGGTATAACATTAAATTCAAGTTAAGAGTGTCGTAACTTACATTCTGAGGATTACGTGGCAGCTTTGATATGTCATCAGTGGCATTTGAGATTAATTACTCTAATTCTGTCATATTGTATACATTTTTTGTTTCATTTTCTGTCAGGTTACACAGCTCAATAACTCCTGAAGGCAAAGGCTGCGTGATATTCTTACTAATATCAATTTCTATATTGTTCTTCCGGGAGCCGTTTGATTGCTTAGCATTACCGTTGTTGCTGGCTGATATCGATATCGGTGGTGGAATGGATGACCGTTAGACAAACAAAGAAATGCAATGCAAATACTATAGCAAAGATTATGCAGTATTGCCGAATAAATGTACGTCGTTTTGTCGACATTATACACTTTGTACGAAACTTTATATATTGTTCTTTTATATTCTATATAAGTAATTGAGGTCACATTTATATGTGCGTAGCATGTAGAGAATCTGACGAGTTTAATAAATTCAACATGACATGGACACGAATGAAAGGTTTATTTATCACATAACATTCATAATTTGAACAAAAAACAAACCTTTGAACACAATAATTTGTTATTAGGTGACTTTATATAGGTAAAAACGAAACTACACCGATCAAAGTATTGCCGTCCGACAAAATAATCATTTCAAATTAATTTAAAATAACAACAAATATATCATGTGATATAGTAAATAAAAGCAATACCAGTAGTGGCGTATGAATATGTTCCCATGGTTTTGACCAATCGCAGCATCTTTAGGTTTTATTACACGTGTGTAATACCAGATTTATGACATGGACGTATGAAATAGTAAAACGGGTCCGTTGTGTGATAAATATATATATGTGCATTTACGTGTTAATTTTGGATAATAGGATGCAAAGGAGCGATTTATTGAACAAGTGTTAATGTTAGAAAGTCAATATTGGAATTCAGAAATGTTTTAAACCTCGCAAGGCGTCATGAAGAATAATACAAAAAATAATCTAGTAGATTGCAGTTCTTCTTTTTTTCTAATTGGTTTTGATGCTAGAGACGTAATATACTACGTTGTTCGTGGCGGCAATCATGGAAGTGTAGGTGAAATTAAGAATAGAAGTAGCATTGTAAATTTGCCATATTTCAAAAGAAAGTGTTGAAATAATACATAACCGTGTTGATAAACACAAAATACTGTAGAAGGTGCAGAAAACCATGGGACACTGTAAATATCATGACGTCATTTTAATGTATACATCGTTACAATGTATCTTTTGAATGGATACACTAGTGAACACAGATCTTAGGCACAAATTAACTTCTGTGCAATTTTTGATAAATTCCATCTCCCCCTCCAGGAAAGTTTTACTGTCAATTGGTAACATTTTATGAGCTAAATGTAGCAGATATTTGAAAAACAAAAAACTTTGTCCATTTTCTCTTTTTGCTAATGACAAAAGTAGCAGAAGTTAAACGAGTGTAAACATTATTTGTTAGAAACAAAAAGTTGGCCTCTGTACATTGACCTTTTTTTTTCTCGCCCGTTAATTTTACAAGCTTATTATTCTGTTTTTGTTTGCAAAACTATTGATTAATTTTTCCTAAGCTTGAATATGAAATGTTCTCTACTTGAAATCGCCTTAGATACTTAACGCTGCGAATCTACCCGAAAATATATACGAAATTAACTTAAAGTAATTTATATTAACTCTGTATAACGACTCATTTTCTATGGTAGATATACGCTTAAATGAATGGTTAAGCGTGTTTTGTTAAGCTATGAATATAATTTGAATAAAATACATGACAAGCATTCACCATTGATACAATATATTTTAATATATAAGTTTGTATAACAATTGAAAGACTAGTAGCATTTTATGTAACATCTCATATTGTGATCGACTCAGAATAATAAATAAACCAATAAATAAATTAATAAATACTTCACATTCACATAATGTAACGAGGAATGCAACATTTGATTTGTAATAGGAACATTATAAACAAACGCACTTCAATAATACGTGATGAAATGATTGATTTCTCTATGCTATCAAATAAGATGTGTTCACATAGAACACATACATTGAAACAATGGGAATGACAACATCGAATTTTATTAATATATTAATATGTTCACACTATAAGTATTTGGATAAAAATAGAACAGTTTTAGGTTGTGAAATTCATTGAGGAATGATTTTGTGATAATATTTTCTTCTTCCGACTCCCTGATTGACAAAGTAACAAGTGTCCTTCGACAATTGTGAACTTGCATGTAAATTATTGCAGTAGTAATATACTATGCATAACAATTTGTAGCAATGGGTTGTCGAATCTAATTATTTTAAATCAGTTACAAAGTAATAAAATAATTAAAAATCCATATGGTAAATTCAGCCTGGCTGTATATTTGATAAATTATATTTTCAACACTCTAAATGCACGGTGCATTCATTTTAACTGTATTCGGTCTTTGCGTATTGCAGAGTTATCTTCTCCTGTGATCAGGTTTTCATTGTTACGTCATTGGTTTGTGTGAGAAATTTAAGTCGTTTTCTCAAAAATTGATGACGTTACTCTCACAGACAAATGACACAACAATCAATAACTGCTCACAAGATCAGATAACTCTTCAATACGAAAAGACGGAATATCCGATAAAAGACATTTGCAACTTTGATAAACGATATTTGCAACAAGGGATATTCATAGTAGCTGAATCTTTGATAAGTGATGTATGCAGCCCTTTCAATGCATTTCTTGTGTTGCATGAGTTTAGTGTTTGTGTTATATAACTAACACGATAAGACCATAACAAGATGTTTAGCATAAGTTGGGGAAATAATAATTCTTACTCTCTCACATCATAGCTGATGACACTGGCAAGATATAATAACTCACATACAAGCTTGATGCTATAAGGTCAACATCAATCACAAGTCGGATACAAAACAACCTGCACAGACAATATATCAGCTTGTATCCACTAATATCAATCACAAACAGTAAACACTCGCTAACTGACAACGTGAAACGAAAATATAATTTACAAAAAGGCACCAGAAAGAAAAAAAAACATTTGCTGCGCTGACCATTCGAAGGTTTAGCTATCCCAACACAAGCAGATGGGCAATGCATTTTGTCCATTTCATTTCAAATTGACCGCTACACTGACCACTACTGTACCATGATATGGAATGTCTTCATTCAACCGATAATGTCAACTTGTTTCATTCAGGGTGTCGGACACATGTTAAACATTGTCATGTTTGTGTCATTTTAAAGAATATTGTAACAAGAACGCAGTACTTATTCAATTGATACATACGGTACTGGTATGTGAAACACTGTTCAGTCCATATGTGAACCTTTATAAACGCCGTCCACATCATACACATAGAGCAAAGTACACAGGTTCATAAATTTCTCATGTTCAGCTTTATAATGCATTAGTTTGTGTAAGTCAATAACACGATATTTCACGTCCATGCTGCGAACTATGACGATTTAGAGTTAACAAGTTCCGGTGTTTAGTTCTGAGAATACTGCTCTCAAGCAACGTCACTTCCCAAAAGATATTGTTGCGAGGAACTATTGCACATACAGTCACTACTACTGACCGGGATACGGTAAACGGTGTCTGACAGCTTGTAGATAACATGTTGGATTTTAACCAAATCCACTGCGACTCCATGTTAACGCACATTGAGTCAGAATTATCTACTGGCATCGATGTTTCTTCTTATCACTCTAATAGACACCCCGTCTTTAGGAATGATTGTTGCTCCCTCCACGTACTTGAGAGGGATAGAGAGTTTCTCGGACGGGACCACTGTGTATTTTTTAAACAATCTAATCATTGCCATTTTCCCCTGTAATTGGGCCAGTCGTAGACCAACACAAGTTCGAGGCCCACTTCCGAAGGGCATCCAGGCCATTGGATTTCTCATCTTTTTGCGCTCTGCTGTAAACCTGTAAAATTGATCGAAACAATATTTCAAAATCCCATTCAATGCATTTATTATTACACCTGTATTATTTTTGTAATGCTAATGTACTTTATGTATGTAATTACGGAAACAGCTATAATTATATTGGTTAATAGGGATATCTGTTATCCATGTTTGTATTGTGTTCTCAAATAATCTGATTACTTCAATCAATTAATGATCGTACCACAACAATATCGTTGTTATGTTAGTGATTTTAAAGCGAGTACGTAGTTTTTAATTAAACATTTTTCTGAAGTATCTGGTATATGAATACACACTGAGATATATTAGATACCCCCAAAGCTATATAATCCAAACACGCCTTTTACGAACAAAAAAAAATGACCTCAAAATTGGCAACTTGCAGTTAAACACTTCTGATCAATACAAGCTAGGTATCTTGACATAAGTCTGTTAAAATATATGTACGAGAATTGTTGTAAATAATCAGTAGAGTATATGACAATTGAATAATTGTCTTGGGCAAGTCAAATATTTCCCATGTCTGGTAGTTTACAATACATTAAATAAAGAATAAAAAAATTCAAACACTTTGTAATCATTCGATAAAAAGATAAATATGCAATAAGAATTTAAATTATTTACTTTACCTTCAAGAATAAATTTAGTTTATATATTCTAACAATCATCAAACGATATCTGCGTTAAAGCGACCGATAGAGGATCTGAGCGATGTGTGCAGCGAGGCGTGACTATTGTTGACACCCGTGATGACAGCGACGAGGTGACAATTGAATTAGAACAGACACTAAGACAATTGAAGGAAGAGGCGAAAAAAGAAACACCTGAATACAAACATCTCCACAATGATACTCCACACTGTAAATACACTGCATTCGTTTAACTTGTGTGTTGAAGTTAGTGTACACAGGTGTCTCTGAACCGGACCAACCTTGATTTGACACTATGTAGGCCTTCTCTGACGTAATTCTGCTCCACATTTTGATATACATGTATATATATATATATATATATCTCCATTTATGGGTCAAAGAGGTAAAACTAACGGTACCATCCCGAATAACACTGGATTCTTGCAATTTTCATTATATATATTGACTAATGTGAAAGAGAGAAAGAGAGAAAGAGGAAAAAAATCTGTATTTAAATTTTTACTTAATTACAAACCTTTCGGGCACGAATTGATCCGGATCCTCTCCCCATAATTCGGCGTTATAATGAAGAGCCCATACATTAGCATGTATGAGCATTCCTTTGGTAAGCTTGACCCCTTCAATCGTGCAATTTTCCATGCATTCACGAGCCACAACACTGTAATAAAATAAACACAAAAATAAATTATATTACATGTACTTGATTCATATTTGAATTACGTCATCCCAAAGCTGTACATCGTATCTACCGACTCAGGTTTGTAGTCTTATCAGCTATTCACTATTTGAAATGAACCTTATAACGGTCTTATACTTGGAAGTGCTAAGTTAATCCCATATTGTATGTGTAGCCAAAGGAATGGTTGAATTAATCCGAGTTTATGACAGTTGTAATTGATCACAATTAACATTGTGTGGTACATGTATACTGTAATTTCGATAATGCATGGATTTTTTTTATTGTTGATGTCAGTAAAATGCAATGCTAAAGGATTAATTATTTTATATATACTCACGTGCTAGCCAGTGGACATTTTCTCAGTGTTTCACACCAAACCATGTCAAGATACTCCATCCGTTGGATAGCTTCATAGCTCGGATTATCTGCCTGTAAAAGTTGTGTTTATAATAAACCTTTTATACAATATATCTTATTGTGTGGACGTACATCATTATATTACATCCGTCATATTAGTCCCAAGAGCTGCAAGTACCAAATATCGGTTACACAACACAAAATCACTAACAGTCTCATGATTGCCGGGTTTACAACTGTGTTTAGATACCTAACAAAAAGTCACTCGAAATACATGAGGTGATTGAATGATTTTATTAAAAATATTTTTTAACTCTAATAGTATATTACTGTTCCGTTGGGTTGTTAATAATACATAACATATAAAATGGTCCAACTCATGACTTATTATGGGGAAATACTTCATGTAACATATATAAAGTTGAATTATATACCTGGTCTGGGAAGTATCTGTCTATTTCTTCCTGGAGTTTGGCCTGAACCTCTGGGTTGACAGCCATTTCGTAAAAAATATATGCAAGAGTAGTGCTGGTTGTCTCATACCCCGCCAACAGAAAAAGGAGAGATTGGGCTGTCAGCTCCTGGAAACGAAACAAAATCACATCAGAACATGCAACAGACACATCAATTCGAAATCTTTTTCCAAAGAATGCTGAGTTTACATAGAATAGCACGCCATACTTACTACGCGGTATTTAAAAACAATGTTTGGAGACATTTGGAATGAGACAGGAAAACAAATTAGCACCCTTTCTACGAGGTTGTAGATTGAAATTGAAATGAAAGTGTAATGCTAGTTACCTCTGTGGTAAGAAGTCTTTTCCGAACCACTTTGTCTGTGGCGTCCAACTCCTCAATGCCAGTAGCAGGATCGTACTCAGAGTTCAGCATCAAGTGAAGCAGATCGACTTTAGTTTCCTTTGAAATAGCAAAACAATATTTTTGAAACTGTTACTGATTGGAAAACTTGTATGCTGTTTATTACTAAAAGAAATAAACCAATTCACAACTTCTGTCACTTATATTTTTTTTCTAGTTACCTGTGAATCTTTTCTCCTGTCGACGATTTCTTTGACCATTTTTTCTAACCAAAATACTGGGTTGAATGACAAATAGCCAAGAAGCTTGTATATAGTAATCCATAACTCATGAAATTTGGGGAAAATGACTGAAATAAATAAATGTGAATGTTATGTAACAATGATGCTGATAATAAAATTAAACAATGTTCAATTTAAGGATTTGTATGTGTCCGCGCGTTGAAATGGACCAATAACACCACTTTCAGATATGTTTTTTGATGCTGTTGATATGAAATATAATAACTAGTCAATTAGTTATATATGTTTCTTTTTAAACGTTTTAAATTCTATTCGACTTAAACATATGTATACATTATACTTACATCCGAGAAGAAAGAGCAATGGACGCTTCGTTGTGTCCGTAATGACCTTCCGGGAATGTTTAAGCCAGCAGTCGTCTGGATTTTTTAGGGAGCTATTTTCAAGACCAAGTCCACATTGCGCTATAGTGTCCATAGTAAGCCTTTGAAACACACTGCAAATATGAAAGACAAAAATTGAAAAATATTATTGCTACTGTTTGTTGATAGTGTATACGTAATGATCAATAATACATGTTTAGAGCAGATGATGTAAACAAAGAAGAAATGTCCTGAAAAGTTATTTTATATACCATATATATGGGCCTTTTAACGATTAGTATGCTCTGATTGTTGTGTTTTAGGAAAATAACTTCTGCTGTTAAATGTCAGGTTTATTTAATCGCTACCATAGAGCAATATTGTTACTAAGCACATTGCGCGTAAACCGTAACTCATGTGTTTGACTGAGTGTTTGACGGTCGACACTGCTATCAAGTCAATATTTTACAAACCTGACGTAAAATCATTCTAATTGAGACATTTAGGGTTGTTGAAAAGTCATAGTTATGTTTTATATCTAAATTTAGATAATGCTATATTGTGCAGATCGTGATAGCGTTACACAGCTGGCGTAAACACTGATTCATGGTTTATTACATAGTCCAAAGGAGCTCGAGAAGGAACAGTTGTCGTCGGCACAACCAAACGTGAAGGAGGAAAATTCACATATTTCTTTATCAATACAAATATACAGTTCACTCACTCGTACACGTCGAAATCGTCTCTGTTTCGTCCATAGGTATCCACTACCTCCATGAGATGATCAATTCGAGTATTTATCATCGGCGTCATCTGTAAATGTGTACCAAACAAAAGTGATATAAAGATGATTTATAGGTCTTGTCATCCTTGATAAAAAATTTACGTAGAACGACAATGAGTTCAAAGAGGAAACATGGCTACAAGTCATCGCCAGGTTTTTTCAATACGTAGTTCATCTTTCTTCACATTTTCATGAACGAAAGGAAATCTCAGTTTTAAAAGAAAATATTATTTTTAGTTCAAATGTTAGAAAAAGTCAAAGAAAATCTTTTCAAAAGCATCCTTAACATTAAACTGAAGCATTTAAATGTATTATAATTTACATACATAGAGAGAACAGAGTTTCTATACAAAATGCTTCGTCTTACAGCGAGGGACGTCATGCCGAGATAGGTAATATAACGCCTATGCCCATATCGTATAAACATATCATGCGAGGAGTGAAACGACTACAGATGATACGAAGGGACTCACGTTACGCATTTTCGTTGTACTGAAGGCTGGATTGATGATGGATCTTAGACGTCGCCATCGCTCGCCTCTAGCAAAAAACATGTGGACATTTTCATCCCTATCAGGATCCACTTGAACAGGAAAAACCTGGACAAACATCAAAAATATAGTCGAGATGACAATCTTGTTAAAACGTGCCCTTTATCAACGATGAGGATTTCTAGTGTAGTATTCCCACAACATAAGACGGTACATACATACACATGAACACCATAGAGTGGTATTAGAATTTAAATGTACTGTTTGTTTTTATATATCTCAATGTCACTTAAAGTTAGATAAAATTGTATATAAAAAGTCTTTATATATATATTATGCTGACTTTACTTTAAGGAATTAATTCTGCCATATACACAAATGTATTTTGTTCAGATTTTTTTTTATACACACACATATAATATATACATTTCATTAATCAAGCTAAACATAGGGTGAAAAGGAATATTGTGAATACGCTGGAGCAGGATATGGTATATAATTATCATTACGACTGCATTGATGTGGAGAAATTCAGAATCGGGGCCAACTTAGTCTTATTTAGAAATCCTCCATACTACACACATGGCTGTAATCATAGTTAGACATTGTTACAAAAGGTAAGGTTCGTGTATTAACATTGTCTTCTGGTACGTTATACTTACTTTTCTTGCATGGAATTTTTTGAATTGTTTGACAAACACTTCATGTAACAGTTCCAGGTTTGTAGTAACCAGTACGGCAGTGGGACCCTCAAAGTACCTGTCAAAAACAAGAGATTTAACATTACAAAAGGAATCTCCCAGTCAAAGGTTGTAAACGGTATTGCAAATAAACGCAACATTTTTTTGTGTAAACGTACCAAGTCTATCTTGGTAATCTGTGTCACGATTTCTCATTTTACATTTAAGATTTAATTAAGTTAATTCGTTTCTACTTATATTAAAATGTTAATTACAAACTAGATGACACTAGAGGTTACACTCACCCGAATGTTTTCCCATACTCTCTGTACCATTCCTGGTATTTAATGTAAAAACTCTGTAAGTAAATTAAAAGATATGTTTCAGCTCTCTGATTCCACACATTTTGAAACAGCATGATACATACAAAACTATATTTTATGCTATAAGAGTCATGCATTTTATTAATGGCGTCATGTCATGAGTGTGCTTGATAATATTTGATAGTTTAAAAAACAAACAAATAGAAAATGGAAACTAGAACGATTACACTAGATTGATAGTCTGTAGCAGGTGAAGTATGTGTCGCAGTTCCAATTGTTTATTTTCACATGTGCTGGAAAATTTAAACAATGAAAATGTAAATACATTTCGTGTATTTGTCAAAACCAAAACAGTTCAATTTTTTTTATTTATTTTTTATTTACACATTTCATAAAAAAACGTTTTTGTTTGGAATTATTGAAACAACATATCAGTAATTCTTTTCAACATTGTCATGATATGATGCTTTGTCTTAGAAAAAAATATTAAAATGCATTATGTCTATGTTTAAAACAAAGAAACCCTCAGCTGCCATTAACTGTCTTAATTCAGGCTTGTATTTGGTTAATTATGTCCTGGATAATTTGAATGAAATCTTTTAAATACAATTTGTATATCTTCTTTCCATATGTCATTAGCAGGACATGACACTCGTCGTGTTTTATTAGTTTTGGGCAATCACAGTGCTGGGGATGCCATCAGTCAATGTGTGTTATCTTATTTGATTTAGCATGCCTTTTAGCCCAAGGCTTGAATTACTGTGACCAGTTTCTACTTTGAAATATGTCATCCTCCTAATATTACTCAGTGGCATATATCAAAGTAAATGTGAATTACGATTATAAGGGTCGATGATTGTTTGCAAGACCTCCTTCGTTGTATTGACGTATGTCATTCCTCCCAATGTCTGACACATAATGAGTACGCATATCCATTAAGCTAAATTAAATTATCCATTAAGCTAAATTAAAGCACTATCTAGTAAACATATACGGAAATATAATGATATTTGCATTCTACAGTAAGTCCGGTCACCAAAGCAGAAGAAAACAAACCCATTTACAAAGATGTAATATAAAATCATATTTAAATGTATATTTGTATATAAAGGAAATTGTACTCACCTTGCGGAAAAATGATAACAGATTCCCAAACAAAAAATGCGGTCCTGGGCCAGGTATTCCCATCCGCCCGAACACTTGCATCTTCTCCCTCCGTTGCCTGTAAAATGAAGCAAAGCACTATTTAGATTATTCAGTTTAGCTTCATAGTACATGATGAAAAGATTGAATCGACGAAGCAAACAATTGTTCAGGTCGATAAATTTTATTTCTTATTATATAAACATAACACGTCCTGGATATTGCAACGATGCACATGTATCTTTTAGCTGTAGATTTTGGTTAAAAACCTTCTTTCGTAAGTGACACGTCAAGTTGGTTGTCTAGCTTCCTCAATAAATAACACCTGTCGTATCTTACAGCATGAATTCTATCTTGAATTCATTAAACACGTGTAATGTAAATGGAGCGCATGAACGTTCCTTTAATGTTTTCAAGTCTAAAAGTAAACTGGTGGACTGGTGGTAGCACGTGGTTATATCCCCGAAGCTGACTGACTATGTCGGCTGTCATACTACCTAGCATTTAATTGAAAGAGTAGTAATAAAATAGTTTACCTGTAAAATGCAACGAGGAGAACCAGCGCAATCACACACAGCACAGTAGACAGCATGGTGTTTCTCGATACCTAATTGAATGAAGAAATGGACTGTTAAATTATGTGCCCTGCGCTTAAGAGGAATATAGCTAGCCAATCACAGGTTGCGTTAAATGTGTCGCTTTCCAACAAAACAAGGTGTAGACCAGAGCGACCGTGTGATCAATGTGAGGACACCGATGTGTAAAAACTGTACGCTTATCACAACCACCTATCGATATGACAATTTAGATATCAGAAGATTACTTTGTTTTAGTCAATTATTTGAATATATTGAGTGGCATGTTAAGTTGGTTGTGACCGAGACGTTTAGTAAAAAAGTCAAAATGTCTACATGTATTTTACAGGATTATCTACCCGGTGTATATATATATATCTGTATGTATATGCAGTAAGATATTTTAGATAACAGTGATATAAGGGAGCATTAATCTGCCGCCGTTGATAACATCGTTCGCATTGAGGCAAATGTTCAGCCGTAATACAGGTAGCCTAGCTTTAATCATTATTGGATTTTTTCTGACAACTAGTTGGTGTATTCTGCATATTTCACGTAAATAGACTAGTACACATCTGAAAAACGACACACACATACACAAACACGCACGTGTATACGCTTTTATTTCATCTCACCTCACAAAAGCGTGATATCAACATACCGAATGATACTTATCTGATTGGGTTTAGAGAATACATCTTTGTTAAAGAGAACCCCAGGGCAGGGTCAGTCGGTAGGGTATCAGCTTATATGTCAACCTATTTTCTTACACCCGGAAACTGCACCATATCATTATAGCTGATGAGACTGGTAGTGGACTGCCTTAGCGGTGTGATATAATGGACGGTCTACTGTCGTTATCTTTAAATGATCAAGCGTGCTCAGTAGACTTCAAATATTCCATTTGCCGGAATGTGTCATGGTTAGGTATGAAATCAAGTGATCTAAAGTATGCGAGACTGACACACTGAAATCTTTATGCTTAGGTCACGATGACTCGATATAAAAATTCCGTTTTTTTCTTAAATCAGTGTTTATCAAAATTTAATTAATTTCAGTTGTGTTGTGAAATATTAACTCATAATTTTGAAACAATGCAATTATATACATACATATTTTAATCACTTAATAAGATAGATCTACAAGATGAATATGTTTCCGCACCTAGATGACTAAAAAACTATGAACGTGAAAATGGGAAACAATAACGGATGGTGCTTAACAACAATAAAAAAGAGCATTATGAATTATAACCAAATTACATGCTGTAGGAATGAATATTGTTACGCTTGAATCTATATGACTTAAATTGTCCTTTGAAAATGACATTTTTACAGGAACTGTTTAATTCTATTCGTTATATCTTGTCAATTGGGTCAATACCTTGCTTTTTTACTACATCATGTCTTAATAAAATAATATACTCATAAAAGGTTAGTATATAGACGTAATGTATCCTATTAAATTAGTTCATATGAAGGTATGAAGAAAGCTTACAGTCTATAATTTGAATTAAGCATTTTCGATATATACTTGTTACCTAGAACAATTGTATCAATCATAACATTATAATTGTATCGTGTTATACCAAATATAGCAAATGTAATTAGCGAACGTCTACTCTACATTTCTATTGATAGCGTAATATTTAAAGCTGTCTGACGAGTATTATAACTGTCGACGACAATCGCGTTATAGTGTTATACTGATATCAATATGACGTGTACTATTACCTATGATTACTACAGTCGTATTTATAATGTTATATTTATATCAGTGTTACGAGTACTATAACCTATGTTGACTACAGTCGTATTTATAATGTTATATTGATATCAGTGTGTCGAGTACTATAACCTATGTTGACTACAGTCGTATTTATAATGTTATATTGATATCAGTGTGACGAGTACTATAACCTATGTCGACTACAGTCGTATTTATAGTGTTTTATTGATATCAGTGTGACGAATACTATAATCTATGTCGACTACAGTCGTATTTATAGTGTTATATTGATATCAGTGTGATGAGTACTATAACCTATGATGACTACAGCCGTATTTATAGTGTTATATTGATATCAGTGTGACGTGTACTATAACCTATGTCGACTACAGTCGGATTTATAGTGTTTTATTGATATCAGTGTTACGAATACTATAATCTATGTCGACTACAGTCGTATCTATAGTGTTATATTAATATCAGTGTGACGAGTACTATAACCTTTGTCGACTACAGTCGTATTTATAATGTTATATTGATATCAGTATGACGAGTACTATAATCTATGTTGACTACAGTCGTATTTATAATGTTATATTGATATCAGTGTGAAGAGTACTATAACCTTTGTCGACTACAGTCGTATTTATAATGTTATATTGATATCAGTATGACGAGTACTATAATCTATGTTGACTACAGTCGTATTTATAATGTTATATTGATATCAGTATGACGAGTACTATAATCTATGTTGACTCCAGCCGTATTTAGAGTGTTTTATTGATATCAGTCTTACGAGTACTATAACCTATGTCGGCTACAGCCGTATTTATGATGTTATATTGATATCAGTGTGACGAGGACTTTTACCTATGATGACTACAGTCGTATTTATAATCTATTACCTATGATTACTACAGTCGTATTTATAATGTTATATTGATATCAGTATGACGAGTACTATAATCTATGTTGACTACAGTCGTATTTATAATGTTATATTGATATCAGTGTGAAGAGTACTATAATCTATGTTGACTGCAGCCGTATTAATAGTGTTATATTGATGTCAGTGTGACGAGTACTATAATCTATGATGACTACAGTCGTATTTATAGTGTTATATTGATCTCAGTGTGACGAGTACTATGACCTATGTCGGCTACAGTCGTATTTATAGTGTTATATTGATATCAGTGTGACGTGTACTATAACCTATGTCGACTACAGTCGTTTTTATAGTGTTTTATTGATATCAGTGTTACGAATACTATAATCTATGTCGACTACAGTCGTATCTATAGTGTTATATTAATATCAGTGTGACGAGTACTTTACCCTATGATGACTACAGTCGTATTTATAATCTATTACCTATGATTACTACAGTCGTATTTATAATGTTATATTGATATCAGTATGACGAGTACTATAATCTATGTTGACTACAGTCGTATTTATAATGTTATATTGATATCAGTGTGAAGAGTACTATAATCTATGATGACTACAGTCGAATTTATAATGTTATATTGATATCAGTGTGACGAGGACTTTTACCTATGATGACTACAGTCGTATTTATAGTGTTATATTGATCTCAGTGTGACGAGTACTATGACCTATGTCGGCTACAGTCGTATTTATAGTGTTATATTGATCTCAGTGTGACGAGTACTATGACCTATGTCGACTACAGTCTTATTTATAGTGTTATATTGATATCAGTGTGATGAGTACTATAACCTATGATGACTACAGTCGTATTTATAATGTTACATTGATATCGTATTTATAGTGTTATATTGATATCAGTGTGACGAGTACTATAATCTATGTTGACTCCAGCCGTATTTAAAGTGTTTTATTGATATCAGTCTTACGAGTACTATAACCTATGTCGACTACAGCCGTATTTATGATGTTATATTGATATCAGTGTGACGAGTACTATAATCTATGATGACTACAGTCGAATTTATAATGTTATATTGATATCAGTGTGACGAGCACTATAATCTATGTTGACTCCAGCCGTATTTAAAGTGTTTTATTGATATCAGTCTTACGAGTACTATAACCTATGTCGGCTACAGCCGTATTTATGATGTTATATTGATATCAGTGTGACGAGTACTATAATCTATGATGACTACAGTCGTATTTATAATGTTCCATTGATATCAGTGTGACGAGTACTTTAACCTATGATTACTACAGTCGTATTTATAATGTTATATTGATATCAGTGTGACGAGTACTTTAACCTATGATTACTACAGTCGTATTTATAATGTTATATTGATATCAGTGTGACGAGTACTATAACCTATGTTGACTACAGCCGTATTTATAGTGTTATATTGATATCAGTGTGACGAGTATTATAATCTATGATGACTACAGTCGTATTTATAGTGTTTTATTGATATAAGTGTGACGAGTACTATAACCTATGTTGACCCCAGCCGTATTTATAGTGTTATATTGATATTAGTGTGACGAGTATTATAATCTATGATGACTAAAGTCGTATTTATAGTGTTTTATTGATATAAGTGTGACGAGTACTATAACCTATGTTGCCTCCAGCCGTATTTATAGTGTTATATTGATATCAGTGTGACGAGTACTATTACCTATGATGACTCCAGCCGTATTTATAATGTTATATTGATATCAGTGTGACGAGTACTATATCCTATGTTGACTCCAGCCGTATTTATAGTGTTATATTGATATTAGTGTGACGAGTATTATAATCTATGATGACTACAGTCGTTTTTATAGTGTTTTATTGATATCAGTGTGACGAGTCCTATAACCTATGTTGACTCCAGCCGTATTTATAGTGTTATATTGATATCAGTGTGACGAGTACTATAACCTATGTTGACTACACTCGTATTTAGTTTTAGTGATGTTCACTTTCATACATCTGGATGCATAATGTTCTATCGGAGGAAGATATCAAACAATGCATAAAAATGGATTAGAAAGGTCATATTATACATACGTTTCTGTTTTTGAAGAGGATAAAAACTAGTTTTTGATAGTATTCCGTTTTCAAGAGCTTAAACATATTTTTTGTTTTATACTTTTCCGTTCTGAAGATTTTAAATGAACTAGTTTAAAATCATTGTTTTCTTGAGAATAATCTCTGTATTCTAACATGAAATGTATTAAAAAACAGTATTATATATTGCCACTACTATATTAGCCACAATAAAAACCTATAGGTGTGAAATATTTTTCTCAGTGTTAACTCATGTTTAAATAATAAAAAGGTTTCTTATTCAAT